AGTACTCAAACAGTATATTTCGCTTTGTGTTTCTATGGGGGTGCAAACTGTTGAAATCTTTACTTAATGCATACTAAACTGATCTTTTGTAAAAAAAAAAAAAAAGAAAAAGAAGAAGAAGAAGAAATTATCAATTCCCAACTTGACTCTCACTGGGATTAAACATGACAATAGGTCTGATCTGATTTCATCATCATTTAAAAAATCATCTATTATTTTTTACTTTATGTTTCTGTGTGGGAGCAAACTGTTGAAATCTTTAGTTAATGTATGCTAAACTAATCTTCTGTATATAAAGATAATCGAAAATGAATCTTGATGTGAATGGAATGGGAGAGGGAGGGGGAGATGGGAGGGTTGTGGGTGGGAAGGAAGTTATGGAGGGGGAAGCCACTGTAATCCATAAACTGTACTTTGGAAATTTATATTTGTTAAATGAAAGTTTAAAAAAAAAAAAAAGAAGAAGGAGCCAAGAACTGAACCCAGGGCACTCTCTAATACAGAATGTGTACATTTTTTAAACTATTTCCTTCTTTTTTTAAAAAAAGATTTATTTTATTATTTATTTGAAAGTCAGAGTTACATAGAGAGAGGAGAGGCAGAGAGAGAGAGGTCTTCCATCTGCTGGTTCACTCCCCAGTTGGCTGCAATGGCCAGTGCTGCGCCTATCCAAAGCCAGGAGCCAGGAGCCTCTTCCTGGTCTCCCAGGCAGGTGCAGGGGTCCAAGGACTTGGACCATCTTCTACTGCTTTCCCAGACCATAGCAGAGAGCTGGATCAGAAGTGGAGCAGCCGGGTCTCGAACCGGCGCCCATATGGGATGCCGGCGCTTCAGGCCAGGACGTTAACCCACTGCACCACAGCTCCGGCCCAGAATGTGTACATCTTTGCCACTAGGCTTAATGCCTGCTTCCCAGCCATTTTTTTTTTGTTAGATTTAATAAATGAGAAGCAAAGAGGCAGATAATCTCTATTCATATACAATCGTATCTAAATGGAAAGATCCAAACACCATGATAGTCATCTTTCCTTTGTTTCACTGTTGTGTGTCATTTTCTGAAATCCACAGGAGAGTAAAGCTGAGAAGCAATATATTTGACAAAAAATTGTATAAAACATTAACAAAATATACTAAAGCTTGAGTTTTCAGTCTTCATTAAGAACAACTTAGAAGCCGGCGCCGCGGCTCACTAGGCTAATCCTCCACCTTGTGGCGCCAGCACACCGGGTTCTAGTCCCAGTCAGGGCGCCGGATTCTGTTCTGGTTGCCCCTCTTCCAGGCCAGCTCTCTGCTGTGGCCAGGGAGTGCAGTGGAGGGATGGCCCAAGTCCTTGGGTCCTGCACCCCATGGGAAACCAGGAGAAGTACCTGGCTCCTGGCTTTGGAACAGCGCGGTGCGCCAGCCGCAGCGCGCAGGCCGCGGCGGCCATTGGAGGGTGAACCAACGGCAAAGGAAGACCTTTCTCTCTGTCTCTCTCACTGTCCACTCTGCCTGTCAAAAACAAACAAACAAAAAAAACAAAACAAGAAACTTAGAACTATTTGCTCTAGTTTCTTTCAGAAAATCCACTGTTTACTTCTTTTTTATCCCAGCCTGTTCATAGTTGAGTGTTACAGGGTACATTCTAGCAAAGCCTGGTATTCAGTGACAACTTTTGACTTAGAATTTACTGAATTTCATCATCCCTACTAGAACAAACAACCCAAAGTGTTCTCCATGTTGACATGGGTCAGCAACTGCCTGAGAAATACACAAGGTAGCATGTTGTAGCATTTGTTAAGTTTGTGTCATTCAAGAGGAAACTGGAATACTAAATCAGTTATGTCACAGTATTAGATATCAAAACATTGACAACTGTGAAATCAGTTGTTGAACAAATACAGGCAGGGTTTTATGAAAATTATTTATTTTATTTGTGAGATACAGAGAGACTCCCATCTTACTTATTCACCCTCCCAAAATGCCTAGATGCTAGGAACTCAACCCGGGTCCCCCACTTAGATGACAGGGACCAAAGTACATGAACCATCACCTACTGTCACTAAGACGTGCCTTAGGGGAGTAGAGCTGAGACTTGAAACCAGGCACTCTGATCCAGGATGTGAGTGTCCCAAGCGCCAAACATCCACCCCCATTGTCTTAAGAGAATTAAAAACAGTGTTGATAAATCTTCTATTTGTACATAACATTAACATCTTTTCCTTCTATGTTTTCAGAACTTTTGGTTGTGTTTGTTTCCTCTGTTGTTTTTTGTTCTCTTGTCACTGTTACTGGTTTACTTTGGCCTCTTTCATTTCCTTCTCTGATAAAGATTTGAGTGGCTTGGTTGTTGGTGAGGCTTCTAGTTGTTGTCCAGCCTCTGGACCTGGAACACGAATTAGTAAGGAAGGCAAAGGATGTGCATTAGAAAGGTGAGAATTATTGGGGCCAGCACTGTGGTGGAATGGGTAAAGACGCTGCCTGTAGTGACAGCATCCTATTTGGGCGCCGGATCAAGTCCCAGTTGCTCCACTTCCAATCCAGCTCTCTGGTAATGGCCTGGGAGAGCAGTAGAAAATGGCCCAAGTCCTTGGGCCCCTGCACCCGCATGGGAAGACGTCGAAGAAGCTCCTGACTCATGGCTTTGGATTGGTGCATCTCCGGCCATTGCGGCCAACTGGAGTGAACCTGCAGACGGAAGACCTCTCTCCTTCTCTTTGCCTCTCTTTCTCTCAGTGTAACTCTGAATTTCAAATAAATAAATAAATCTTTAAAAAATTTTTAAAAAGAGGAGAGTCATCTAACAGAGTAAGGAAACTTCAACAATGCGTCGTATGCTAGTTGGTGCATTTTTTTTCATTATTTTCTTTTTCTTTCTTTTTTTAAATAGAAAGATTTTATTTAATAAATATAAATTTTATAAGTACAACTTTTGGATTATAGCCTATACCGGCCCTCCCATGCCCACCGTCTCACTTCCTACTCCCTCTCCCATCTCATTCTTCATTAAGATTCATTTTTAATTATCTTTATACACAGAAGATCAACTCTATACTAAGTAAAGATTTCAACAGTTTTGGTGCATCTTCTGAAAGAAGAAAATATCCTAGTGTTAAGTCAGTATTGTTAATTGGAATGAACTGCCTATAGCTTCTTCATTCCCATAGCTATGGAAATTTCTCTTAGCACAGCCCTCAAATCTTTGGTTAGTCGATTAAGAAGAGGGGGAATTCACAGATGGGCATTGCACAATAGTGGATCTTGTGTTTGAACAAATTATATCAGTCAGAACTGTGGTGAATCCAATCAGACTTAGATCCTGGATGTTTATAGTCAGCACATGCAAGACTTCAGCTTTTCTTCTCTGTCTATAGGAGTCAGTTTGGCTAATGGCACAACCTATATAAAATAACTCAACATAGAATTTCTTCCAGCACTGGGCCTTCTAAATTCCCCCACAAACTCCATCCTGTTGGCCTCCTCCAGTGCATGGAGGAGGAGAATGAAGGAGGAGCTGGCATACTGCCCCACCTCTCAAAGCCAGGAGAAAGGGTGGGGCTTGATTGTTTTCTTGAGAAACTTACCAGGCTGTTTTCTAGAGTGGCTGCATCATTTATGTTCCCAACAGCAACGCAGGAGTAATCCAGTTTCTCAAAGGTTTTTTGTCTTTGTGTGTTGTGTGTGTGTGTGTGGAGGGGAGTGTGAGTTAAAAAAGCTAGAATGATGCAAGAAATAGGTAGCGAGAAAGCTTTCCATCAAAGTGAGAATTGTGGTACAGTTAGAAGAAAAGTCATCAAGATTAGTCAGAAGAAAGGGAACTTAAGGTCATTTAAAGAGAAGCCATTCAGGTCAGGTTGATCTGGAAGAGAGGACACGTGACTTCATGGAGAGAGAGAACAGTGTAAAAACAGAACACGGAGTCACTGACATTCTTATAAACCTATCAAGAACAGGAGAGCGTCTGACCAGGAAGACTGAAGAGCTTAGTCAAAGCTGCACTCAGCATTGCCCCTGATAGAAGGCCTCCTCTTCCTCCTTCTTATTTTTTTTAAGATTTTATTTATTTATTTGAGAGGCAGAATAGCAGACAGAGAGAGGCATATTGAGAGAGAGAGGTCTTCCACTCTCCAGATGGCTTCAATGGCCAGAGCTGGGCCCACACAAAGCCAGGAGCCAGGAGCCTCTTCTGGGTCTCCCATGTGCATGCAAGGGCTTAAAGACTTAAGCCATCCTCCAGTGCTTTCCCAGGTGCATTAGCAGGGAGCTGGATAGGAATTGGAGCAGCTGGGACTTGAACTGATGCCATATGGGATGCCGGCACTGCAGGCTAGGGCTTCAACCAGCTGTGCCACAGTGCCAGCCCCAAGCCTCCTTCTTATGGGAATGAAGCAATAACAAGATTAACAGCAAACATTATGCAGCACAAATCTCATTTTACACATGAGTGAAACCAAGTCAGTGAGAACTCCTAACTTGCTCGTAGCTAGGAAATGTTTAAACCCAGACATTCTGGCTTCGGAGACTATGTTAGCCGTTGCTAGATGTTAACCACTACTAACCTATGGCTCTCTTTCATAACTATAGTGAAAAAAGCCCCATACCATGTAAGTTAACAATAACTAGATGTCAGACTGTATGTAAATTTGGTTCCCTCCACCTGGATACAAAGTCTGGAATGGGATCTGTGTTACAGTAAAATAGTAATGTGCTAAAGAGAAAGAATATGACATAGATAGAAGAGTCAACTTTAGCTTTGCAGGCTAGAGAATGCCTAGGTTTTATTGCTTTTGCATTTCTCCTGCTAAATTTCATTTGGTAGGAATCACACCATTCTACCTGACCTGTGTTGCCTGCCTCCTACAGTTACTGGAATAGAGGCCCAGAAATCAGACTTGCCAGACTAAGCAAACAGAGACTCCCTCTCCAGAGTCTCCAGGCGCCTCTGACATGGCTCTGTGCCATCCTAGAGAGGAGGGCCCTCCCAGAAATTGCAACACAAACAGAAAGTTGTCAGGGGTGCCTGGAGGAGTGGAGGCCAGGCCGTACAAAAGAGAAAACAGATGGGACCCAGAGCAGCAGGGAGCTTCACCTTGAGATCTGTGAGTAGTTATCTCAGGCTATAAGCATGTTTGTTTATTGTGACTTTATGGGAATGTTCTCCTATTGCTGGACAAAACAATAAATGCGCTACAGCTTGAAGCTTTTCTATTTTTAATCTGAGATTTCAGTTTTATTTTTGTCTCATGCCCTTTCAAATTCATGTCTGTAACAACCACCCCTCAGTGACTCTGAGGCAGCTCCTTTGGATTTCAGTTGTGACAGTCTCTTGACTTTACCAAAGGCTTTGAATCCAATTAAGTGATTTTAAAAATAAACTATTTTTATTTGTGAATTATTAAAAAATAAACTAATTGTGAATGCAATAAACTTTTGGCAGAGTAAATGATTGGCAGCGTGGGTGACATTATCAATAGGAGGGCTTGTTACTATTTTTCTGTTGAGGAAATTAGGGCCATCAGGAAGTAAGGGAGCCTTCTGCCCCTTCAGAAAGACTTCTGCAATTTACAGTCCTCAACTCTCAGGAAAGCAGAAGGGCAATTGGAACCACACGAAGTCGCTCTTGCCGGGGGTCAGAAGCAGTAGACTATTGGCCGTTTCATGTGGCACCATCATTTCCATTCAGTAGAGAATCCGAGGCTGTGACATATCTTTACCTTCTTGGATTTCTCCAGGATTCAGTTGTGTGAACTGCCCAAGAGTCCAACAGCCATCTAAGTCTAGAGTGAGAGGATTGCCTCGCCTGGATGGAATCGGGCACTGAAGGTTTGTTGAAGTTCAGGCAGGTTCTCCCCAAGCAAATCTTTCTTCCACAGAGGCTGATTCAGTGTGGCTAAGGACTCAGGCCTGACTCCAGTGGCTCAGAGAGAGAAAGCTTGTGCAAGCCCCTCGGTGTTCCTGGTTCACCCCCACCATCCTGCTGGGGTTCACCTGCCATACCTGGCTTGGCCCAGATTCCCTGTCACCCCATCCCTCCCCTGCTCCATCTGCAACACAGTCCACAAGTGGACTAGATTCAGTGTTTAGTTGAACTGCAGTGGTTTTGTGGGCCTAACAATGAAGTGATATTAATTAAGCAGTGACTAAATTGCCATGCAGTTTTGTTTGTTCTTGTCACTCTCTTCATAATCTCACAGAGGGCTCCCTTGTACCTTGTCTCTCAGAGCAACCTTCTAAAGCTGACAGAGCAAGTAGATGACCGACGTTTTGGATGAGAAATAGAGGTTCACAGAAACGGAGTGCAGAGCTGGAACTACACTCTTCTTACTCTTGAGAAAGTCGAAAGAGGAAGGCTTTAAAGTGATACGTGTGCAACCTTGTGCAATGGAATACTCCTCTAAGAAATGATCTCATTCACAAGCACAAATGAATATTTGAGCTATGACTGTGTTTATAGCGATTCTTTGACCATAAGATTTTAAATTGATTTTAGCTTTCTGCCCTCTTAGCTAAGTTCATTGATCACAAAATGGCAAGTCAGCAAGTGGGCTTGTTAGAAGTGAATTATATTTGATCAAAGTTCCTCGAGACCAAGTAGCCTTCCTTTAGTCTTTAACTGAGTTAAACTAAACAATTTAAGACTTTCTCAATCAATCACCCTTATAAGTATGAAAAATGCAAACTCTTGAGGTTCTGTGTCCTGAAATTTGATCTTTTACTTCTGAAGATTTAAGGCAACATTAAGTGCCTCTGTGACAGATGTTTTTTATTTACATCGCAAACATTTTCATTTATTTAAATTGCTGCTGCATTTACTGACTGCTGATTCAGAATCTCAGTGTTTATGAGCCAGTTTTGAAATCCTCCAAAGAGCAAAAAGGGAACTTGGTCATCTTGATTTTATATCAGAGGAAAAAAAAAATAAGAGACACCATCTCCATCTTTTACAGCCACAGAGAAAAACATCCAAGACATTTGAGGACAATAAAATGTGAATGCCTCATTTACTTCCAAAAAGTCATGACTTTGAGCTTCCCTTTTCCTGATTACCTAACTACTTTCTTTCTTTCTTTTTTTTTTTTTAAAGATTTATTTTATTTATTTGAAAGGCAGAGATACAGAGAGAGGTAGAGACAGAGAGAGAGAGGTCTTCCATCCACTGGTTCACTCCTCAGATGGTCGCAACAGTCAGAGCTGCGCCAATCTGAAGCCAGGAGCCAAGAGCCTCCTTCGGGTCTCCCACGTGGGTGCAGGGGTCCAACGACTTGGGCCATCTTCCACTGCTTTCCTAGGCCACAGCAGAGAGCTGGATCAGAAGAGGAGCAGCTGGGTCTAGAACCGGCGTCCATAAGGGATGCCGGCGCTTTAGGCCAGGGCTTTAATCTGCTGTGCCACAGTGCCAGCCCCTACCTGACTACTTTCAAACAAAGCGATAATGAGGTATCTTATTTATTTATTTATTTTTATTTTTATTACTTTTGACAGGCAGAGTTAGACAGTGAGAGAGAGAGACGGAGAGAAAGGTCTTCCTTTTTCCATTGGTTCACCCCCAAATGGCTGCTACAGCCGGCGCTGCGTCGAACCGAAGTCAGGAGCCAGGTGCTTCCTCCTGGTCTCCCATTTGGGTGCAGGGCCCAAGCACTTGGGCCATCCTCCACTGCCCTCCTGGGCCACAGCAGAGAGCTGGACTGGAAGAGGAGCAACCGGGACAGAATCTGGTGCCCCAACCGGGACTAGAACCCAGGGTGCTGGTGCTGCAGGTGGAGGATTAGCCAAGTGAGCCGCAGCACCGGCCAGATAATAAGGTATTGCCAATGTGATTTTTTTTTTAATTTTTTGACAGGCAGAGTGGACAGTGTAAGAGAGAGAGATAGAGAGAAAGGTCTTCCTTTGCCGTTGGTTCACCCTCCAATGGCCGCCGTGGCCGGTGCACCGCGCTGATCCAATGGCCGGAGCCAGGTGCTTCTCCTGGTCTCCCATGGGGTACAGGGCCCAAGCATTTGGGCCATCCTCCACTGCACTCCCTGGCCACAGCAGAGAGCTGGCCTGGAAGAGGGGCAACCGGGATAGAATCCGGTGCCCCGACCAGGACTAGAACCCAGTGTGCCGGGGACACAAGGTGGAGGATTAGCCTAGTGAGCAGCGGCGCCGGCCGCCAATGTGATATTAAATTGCCTGAAGGTGGATTATTTTCACAGGGCATCAACCTCATCACTTCTTTATTTGGCTTTATTTAGCTACTTGGTCTACTTAGTAAATATACGTGTGATCTTCTTAAGGCAGTCATTTAGAATTGGTTTCCTTGAAAGACACAAGTGTTCAGACACTTGGATGCAGATGTTAAAACAGAGCACAGGGGGCCAGCCTTTGGCATATCAGGTAAAGCTTCCACCTGCAACGCCAGCATCCCATATGACTGCTGGTTCAGGCCCTGGCTGCTTTACTTCTGATCCAGTTCCCTCCTAATGGTCTGGGAAAAGCAGCAGAAGATGGCGCAAGTGCTTGGGCTCTTACCACCTACCTGGGAGATCTGTTAGAAGCTCCTGGCTTTGGCCTGGCCCAGATGGCCATCTGGGGAGTGAACCAGCGGATGGATGGAAGACTTCTGTCTCTCCCCCCTTCCTCTGTAACTTTGACTTTCAAACAAACCACAAAAAAAAAAAAAAAAAAACCCCACCAAAAACAAACAAAAACAACAGAGCACAGTCATATGCATCATTTTTTAGGGATAAGAGGAAAAGTGAAATGACGAGTGAGAAGTGGGATACCCTGCTGCAAGTCCTTCTGCTTCAGATTCCTGTTCTCTACTGCGTAGGCATCTGGGTGACGTGATCTCTAAACTCTGAAGACCTTTGTGGTCTCTACCTGTACTAATAACTTGAGCTTATTTACTCATTGTCTATCTATCTGTCTACCTAGTATATATACAGTATAATTATAACTCAACTCTGAAGACATTTGTGATCTCTTCCTACTACTAATACCTATGCTTACTTACTATGTATGTATATATATATATAGTATAATTATACACTGACAATCTACTAAAAATTCATAAAACAGCTTCATAGTTTCCACTAATGAACTTGACCATTTTTCTAGGATTTTTTTTTAAGTTTTCTGCTCTCTACAAGTAAAAAAAAGTTCATCCTTTAAGGGCAACTTCTATGCAGTACAACGAAGATTTTAATTATAGCCGTTACATCTCACCCTTAACAAGAATTTTAACCTTGGTGTGAGGGAACACACACATAAATAAAATGAATTTTATTTGTTTGTTTCTACTCTTCTATGTTCTCTAAAAGTCTGTGAATGACTTTTACTGAAAAGAAGAAAGAATATGGACGTCCTAAGTGTCAGCGATCACACACTGTATTTGTGTGTGTGTGTGTGTGTGTGTGCGCACGCGTGTGTTTTAAACGTGCAGCTGTGTCCTCTAAAAGCAAAGTTATATATTTTGTTGTAGCAGAGATGGACTCCCTTGTCAGCAGGCCCAGACACTTCTGTTTTCTGAGCATCTACCTCTGTAAAAGGAAGAGAGAGAAAGGAAGGAAGCTCAGTGCGCAGAGGCCTGGGACCCCGAAGCGGAAGTCTTTCTCCCCTGGCCTAGGGAACAGCAGCTGCGGGATCAGTGCTTTATGCACTAAAGTTTCAATAGTGAACGCACCAGACACAACCATCCGCTTTTGTGGGGCTCACATTCTTACTCTTTAAGAGCAGTGGGTAAGTCAGAGTTAACAATTTGGGTAAATTTGTTTTTGTCTTTGTTTTGGGTAAATTCTCAATTTGTTCTGTGGTGTGTTCTGGCAGTAAAATTTTTTTGAAACTTGTCTTCTATAAATAAATGATGTAAAGTCATTCAAGAGAGCAAAAATATTGTTGCCAAATTTTTTAATTTAATAAGTGAAATGTTTGTTTTGATTTGATGTTTCACTGGACAGTTACCATTTTCTTTCTAATACAAGGTAAAATTGTACTGTATTTGAATTTTTTAAAAAATTTATTTTACTTTAGCAAGACAGAGAAAGACAGACAGAAAAAGGTCTGCCGTCTGCTGGCTCACTCCTAAATGTCTACAATAGCACAAAATGGGCTGGACCAAAGCCAGGAGCTGAGAACTCAGTGCAGATCTCTCACATGGCTGGCTGGAACCCAAGTACCTGAGCCTCTACTGGCTGCCTCCCAGGGTGTGTGTTAGCAGGAAGCTGGAGTGGAGAGTGGAACTGCAACTCAAACCCCCAGCAGTCCAATAAGGAATGCAGGCATCTTAAGTGGGATCGTAACTGCTGCACCAAACATCCACCCTTACATGTGAATCTTATGGGTATTTGAAGTTAAACCTTATCGGTGGTACATCTATCCCAATCATGGTGATACTTTCTGATAATGCATTGAACAGCAGTACTTTTTTCCCCAGAAGTGGTCAGGCATAATGTATTCAGAACATGATAAAAACAAAACCCCAGTAGCTGGCAGTCATATGTTAGCACAAATGTTTTGCCCCTCTGTAAAATCACATGAACGCTACTTTTGCTTTCAGGAATCAGTAAACCTTGGCCATGATCACTTCCTCTTTTCCAACCCGCGTGGCAGTTTTTGCCCTGATCAGCCTGCGTGTCGGTGCTCTGGACACTTTTGTAGCTGCAGTGTATGAACATGCCGTCGTTTTGCCAAAGAAAACAGAAACGCCTGTTTCTCAAGACGATGCCTTGCTTCTCATGAACAAGAATATAGATATTCTGGAGAGTGCGATTAAGCAGGCAGCAGGGAAGGTAGTCTTTAATTTCCTCTAATCAGAATTTGTGGGAGGTCATGAGAACTGGTGCAAGAATGGAGTGTTAAATCATTTCTACTGTGCATAGAAAATAATTTTGGTTTGATCCATTGTGAACAGAATGCTCGAATCATTGTGACTCCAGAAGATGCACTTTATGGGTGGAAATTTACCAGAGAAACAATTTTCCCTTATCTGGAGGATATCCCAGATCCTCAGGTGAACTGGATCCCATGTCAAGACCCCCACAGGTACTTCAACTTTCCTAGTTGTGCACAAGTGCTGTGATTTTCTAAAATGTGCTTGTTCACCAAAGCAAAATGATTGATGCTGAATTTCATACATGTGGTGTATATTACGGTTGTATTTATCATGATGTTAGATTTTAAACAATTGTATTTAGATACCATTTGATAATATTTTATTTTTAAGTTTTATTTATTTTTATTTATTTGAAAACCAGAGCCACAAGGAGAAAAGACAGAGATCTCCCATCTGCTGGTTCACTCCCCAGATGACCCCAGCAACTGGGGCTGGCCAGGCTGAAGCCTGGAGCCTGGAACTCAATCTGAGTATCCCATGTGGGCTACAGGGAACCAAGCATTTCAGCAGTCATCTGGTGCTTCTCAAAGTGTGTGCAGTAACAGGAAGCTGGATAGGAAGTGGGGCAAGGATTTGAGTCCAGGCATTCCGATAAGAGATGTGGGTGTCTAGCAGTGTCTTAGTTACTGTGCCAAATGCCTTCCCCTGTTTATGATTGAATGTCTTTATTATGTTTGGAGAAAATATTATAAACAAGGTATTTATAAGGAAAATGAACAGAAGAGGATCTCATGAATACAAACAACAGCGTCTGAAATGGACAGTGGATTGCATTAGGAGAACACCCCAATTTCTCTGGTGAAGGAATTGTGTTTCTGTTTTGTTGTCTCTCTCTCATGGGGCTAGTCAGAAAGACCTCACCTTATATTTTCTAGTGAAATATAAGACCTTATGCTTTGAAACTGCATTTCCCAGGCTCATAAAGCTAATTTTCCTGGGAAAAAGTTGTCTATTTTGCCTTGAAGTTGATTGATTTATGCACAGATTGCACACTTCTCTATTAACAGTAATAGGGGCTCACTTCCATTCATTCTTTCTTGGTTCTTATCTCCTCTCACGGTTTTTTGTTCTCTTACCTTTCCCGCATTCTTTTACCTCAAATTAAGCTTAAACATTTTTCGGTTAAGTTCTTGATGGGAGAGTGTGGATCCCACATTGTTTCAGGCCTCCTGATGACTCTGAAGTTTATGTAAGGGTGTCAGGAAATGGCTTTGCACAGCCCTAGAAAGGTTGACCACCCCAAGAGTGGACTGTCCAGGTACATGATGGTGGAATTTTCCATCTTCCTATCCTTCCTTTTCTAAGATCACACTCTTTATGGTATCTTCAAGAAACTTTCTTTTAGGGAAAAGGAGAGGCCAATAGCTGCATAGATTTTTTAAAAATTATTTTTTTTTATTTGAAAGAGTTACAGAGAGAGAGAGAGAGAGAGAGAGATCTTCCATCTTCTGGTTCACTCCCCAAATGGTTGCAAGGTTTGGAGCCAGTCCAGTCCAAAGCCAGAAGCCAGGCACTTCTTCTGGGCCTCCCATGTGGAGACAGAGGCCCAAGCACTTGGGCCATCCTGCTTTTCCAGGCCATTAGCAGGGAACTGGATCAGAAGAGGAGCAGCCAGGACTAGAACCGGTGCCCATATGGGATGCTAGTGCTGCAGGCAGAAGCTTAGCCCACTACGTCACAGCACTGGCCCCATTCTTTTAAGGTGTTTAGAAATATTTGGAGTAAACATTTTTATTTTGCTTTTGAAAGGCGAGAATAAGCATATTCCATTCTGGTGGAATGATCCATGAGAGAGCAAACCAGTGGTGGGTGATACAGGGTAATGAATCACTAAGCCATGGATATCCCATAAAGGTATTCATCAATTTAAGCATAACGTCAGGCTTTTTAAAATATACATTTATAAATAGTTTTTATGTTGACTTCAGTTACACTTAGGTTCTTACTGTTATAGTTTCCTCATGAAGTAACTGAAATACTTCTAAAAATTGAAATGCCTTCATGAAAATTTTTTTAGATTTGGTCACACACCAGTACAAGCAAGACTCAGCTGCCTGGCCAAAAACAATTCTATCTATGTCTTGGCAAATATTGGAGACAAGAAGCCTTGTAATTCCCATGACTCCACATGTCCTCATAATGGCTATTATCAATACAATACCAATGTGGTGTACGATTCAGAGGGAAAACTGGTGGCACGTTATCATAAGGTAAGAGAGAGGTGGGCCTGTCCAATGGAGTCTGCTTTAAGGTGATGAATGCTGTGTTTAGTGGTTCAGCCTTTATTCCCCATATAGCACACTATGACATTACCAACGGTACATACGTGCAATCTTGCCACAGACTTTTTATGAAAGTGAGCAACAAAAAAGTCATCTTATTAAAAATATAAATTGGAAAAAATGTTGGAATAGACCTGTTAGCAAAGTGAAAGCATATTTTTCTGTATATGAAAATAATAAACTTTAATATTGATGTAAAAGATACTAATGTGACTGTAAAATTAATTCATTTAACATTGAAATCGTATAAAGTTGTTTTGAAATTGTATGATTGTTAATTTTCTATAAATCACAAAATACTCTATTTTCTACACCAGTTAGTTTAATTATTGTTTTGTGGCTGTAAGATCAAACCAGAATATTTTTATTTTAAATTCTGAATCGAAAAAATAAAATAACCTTTTAGTCATAATTTTGTACTGAGCCTGGGTGGGGAGAGAGGATAGTTTTGAAAGCTGGGTAAGAGCATTTGAGATTATTTTGGATGGGACTACCAAGGAGAAGATGGCACCCTCATCTGAATCACAGGTTTTTGTTGTGCATTTATTATGTTTCTAGAAACCAGGGAAACAGGAAGAACAGTGCATGTCTTAGGCTTTCAGGAATCTCATAGTCTTTGAGATTTATGAAGAGGTGTTTTGGAAGGTGTGAGAGACAGATGCTATAGATATATATAATGCTGATTCTTCCACATCTTCCTCAGAAATGTATTTGCTATTGCCAGATTGTTCATTTCCTTGGAGACTTCCTGCTGTTGATCCTACTAAATCTGCTATTACATTTGGAGGGTTTTTATGAGTTATCGCTTAAATCAACAAGACTCCACTAGTTTTGTTCTATGCATTTATTATAGTACCACCTATACTCTGAACCTCAGTTTGATGTTCCTGAGAAACCAGAGCTGGTAACTTTCAACACCACATTTGGAAAGTTTGGCATTTTCACATGTTTTGATATACTCTTCCATGATCCTGCTGTTACCTTGGTGAAAGATTTCCATGTGGACACCATATTGCTCCCTACAGCTTGGATGAATGTTCTGCCCCTCTTGACAGCTATTGAATTCCATTCAGCTTGGGCCATGGGAATGAGAGTTAATCTTCTTGTGGCCAATACACATCATGTCAGCTTAAATATGACAGGTAATGCATGGCCAGGTGAATCTTGTAGTTTCTACTTTTAAATATAGTGAAACTAATGCCTCAGATATGACCCACCTAAATCTATTGCTTTTTGTCAAGACTCCTCATGTTTTAATCCTTTTACGTGCAAGAAATGAAAAGCTAATGCTTGATTATAACAGCTATGGTTGTGTTAGAAACTTTATGTGTATTATTTCATTTAATTTAACATCCCAACATACAGAGTAGGAACATTAAGAGATTGAGAATGCAAGTAACTTACTGTAGGCTACCCAGATAGCAAGTGGCCAAGCAGGTAACTGAACAGACACAGGCTCTAAACTGACCAAGACCAGGAAATGTATAGCTTATGCACTGATGTATAACAAATAACCCTAGAAGTTAAAAGTAAATGTGGCTTACAACAATAAACAGTTGTCATCTCACAGCCTCTGTTGGTCAGAAATTTGGGAGTGACTTTGATGGGTGGTTCTGGCTCTGGCTGTCTCATCAAGTATAGTGGAGCTGTTAGCTGGGCTTATAGTCATCTGATGGCTTGCCTTGGGCTGCTGGGTTTGCTTCCAGAAGGGCTCACTCACGTGACTTTTGGCAGGAGCTCTCAGTTCCTCAGTGGCTGTTGGTGGGAGGCCCCATTTCTGTTTCTTGCCATTTGCTTCTCTATAGGGCTGCAGGATGTAGTCTGCTGACATGACAGCTGATGTCATCCAGAGTAAATGATAAGAGGGAGGGAGAGTGGGAGAGAGAGAAAGAGGGAGAGAGAGAGAGAGGGAGAGAGGGAGGGAGGAGAGAGGGAGAGAGAGAGGTAGAGGGGGAGAGAAGGAGAGAGGGAGGGGGGAGAGGGAGAGAGAGAGGGAGAGGGGTAGAGAGGGAGAGAGAGAGAAAGAGAGTTATATTGCTGTTTATGACTGACTCATCATTACCATCACTTCTAACACATTCTGGTCACTTGAAGTGGCTCAACAAGTCCAGCCCACACTCAAGAGAAACAATTAGATCCATCTATTGGAGAGAGGAGTGTTGAAGAATTTTATACAAAAATTGCAATGGTGGGGAAAAGGAAAGAATTTTCTATTACCTTTTCCTACCTTTCAGAAATTTCTGAATATAAAGATTTTAATATTTAATTTACTTTTCCACAAGGCTAATGCAAAATGCTATTATTTCAAACTTTGAGTTGAGAACATTGAACATTTCTAAATAATTTTTTCTACTAGGAAATAGGAAAAAGAGAAGTAGTTAAATGTTCAATGTAACTGGAAGCCTGTGTGTATTCTCCTAATAACTGATATGGTGACCTGATCACATACCCAGTCAGTGTATCTGGTGGGATACTTGGTAGTTTTGGTTTTTCTGTGTTGTTGTTTTTAACAAGATCTGTCTTCCATTTGCAGGGAGTGGCATCTATGTACCACATTCTCCCAAAGTGTACCACTATGACATGGAAACAGACTTGGGAAAGCTCCTCCTTTCAGAGGTGGATTCACATCCCCAAACCTCTTCTTCCTACCCAACAGCTGTGAATTGGAGTGCCTATGCCATGGCCATCAGACCATTCTCAGTACAGAAAGACACTTTCAGAGGATTTATTTCTCGGGACGAGTTCAATTTTACAGAACTTTTTGAAAATGCAGGAAATATTACAATTTGTCAAAAAGAGCTCTGCTGTCATTTAAGCTACAGAGTGCTAGAAAAAGAAGCAGATGAAATTTATGTCCTAGGAGCCTTTACAGGATTTCATGGCCGAAGGAGGAGAGAATACTGGCAGGTAAACTCAGCTCAAGAGAAAGGAGTGTTTGGGTGTCAGTAAATTCTAGGTTAAATTCTCGTGCTTGTTCCAGGAAATCAAGTGCTCTTTTGGCATGTCTCCAGGTATTGGCATTAACAATCAGTCACTCTCTCTCTCTCTCTCTCTCTCTCTCATACATACTAGGATTAATGAAATATTTGTAATCTGAAATAAGTATTTGTGTAATCTGATTGCTTGTGTACATTTAAAATAAATTATTAATCTGACCGTGATGGCTTTCTATTTGACTGACAAACTTATTTGGATATTTTGGTAGGCTTCAAGTCTTGGGTTTCCAATGTATCTGAGCACAAATGGTTTTATTCTCACTTGTAAAATCAACTTAAGTAGAAATGCCACATTTATGCTAGTTTTTTTCTTCTAAGTAAATGTCTTAAACTTTTAATTCTTTACAAATTAAATATTTTTATGATGTGACTATATTCTAGGTTGTTAGCTACGAATTTGTGTTTTCTTTTTGTATTTCATGCCCTACTATCTTCTAACCAATAGGATATAGAAAAGAAAGTAAGGTGTAGGAATGGTTAACATTTTAGTCATTTGCTCAACTTCACTGCTACTGTTGCCCAAAGATCTGCACTTCAGTAAGCTCAATGCCATCATAGGTTTAAGTCTAATTCTAAAGTGACTTTTTTCTTCAATCTACTTCCTATCCAGGAAGTTCTTACATCACTTCCCTTTTCCAGTAAAGTAGAATATTGTAAAAACATAATTCAAATCCCTTCATGGAGAAAGAAAATTATACCTTGCTGTGGTTAAAAACCAAGTCAACAGTTGTAGTACAAGTAACCTAGATATAACTCATTGCCTTTTATCTGTATCTGGTCCACTTAGGTATGCACAATGTTGAAATGTAAAACTACTAATCTGACCACATGTGGACGGCCAGTAGAGACTGCTTCTACACGATTTGAAATGTTCTCCCTCAGTGGCACATTTGGAACAGAGTATGTTTTTCCTGAAGTTCTACTCACTGGAATTCATCTATCACCTGGAAAATTTGAAGTAAGGCTTTCAAAGTATTTATCTGGTCACGGAAGCTAAATAGAACAGGCTATGGCAACTCTACTAGCTGAATTTTGCCATGTAACATACTTCCTCAAAACTTAATGGTTGTGGGAGTAGACTGTGGTCTAATGGTTTAGATGCTGATTCCACACTGGAATACCTGGGTTCAACTATTCCTGGATCAGGCTCCTGATTCTAGCTTCCTGCTAATCCAGACTCTGGGAGGCAGCAGGTGAAAATTTAAATAGTTTTCTTGTCACCCACATGGGAGACCTGGATTGGGGTTCCCAGCTCTCAGCTTCAGCCTGGTTCAGCCTTGGCTTTTGTGGACATTTGGGGAGTAAAATAGTGGATGGGAGCTCTCTGTTTGCCTCTTTCTCTGACTACCTCTAAAAATTTGTTTAAATAAAACCTCAAACATAATGTCTTTAAACATTGACCATTTTTTCAGCACTGATTTTGTGGATTGGCAATTTGAATTCAGTGTAATGAGGCTGTTTGGTCAAAGACAGGCTCAGTTAATGTTGGCTGCGCTCACTGCATCAGACACTAACCAGTGAATTGCTTGGGGCTGGCTAATTTGTGATAGGCTTGTCTTGGATGGCTTAGATAATTGAGGCCTTCTCTCCCTGTGGCCTCCCTTCTTTCAGCAAACCTAGACTTGTTCACATGTCAGTTGAATGACCCCAAGAACATCAAAAATGAAAGTCATCATGGGAAGATTCTTTGCAGAAATCCTCCTGCACCAGATTTTCAAATGTCTCATTAACCACAGGTTGTAGAGAAATAAACCTCTTTATGGGAGGAACTGTAAAACCACATTGCAAAAGAACCTGGGGGGAAGAGTATTTTGTGGTCATCTTTTGCGATTTCTGCCAGCTAATTCTAGTGATGACACTTGGTTGGAAGAACACAACAACATACCCTCAAATTCTGAGCTTGAGGCGCCATTTTTTGAAGAGTATTTGCTTACCAAATTTTAATTGCCGTTGTCACTTGTAGAGACAGAAAATCAGATATTTATTTCACAAATGATAGTGGCTGTAACTAAGCTGATATGAAATTAGAATTATGACCCTGTGGGTACATGACACATGCACACATACCTACACATATTCAATTTTAAAAATTAATTAGTTTATTTGAGTGGCAGAGTTAAAGACAGAGAGAGATAGAGACAGAGACAGGGAGAGAGAGAGAGAGAGAGAGAGATCCTCCACCTGCTGGTTCCCTCCCCCAAATTAACACAACAGCCAAAGCTGGACCAATTCAAAGCCAGGAACCAGGAGCTTCTTCCAGCTCTCCCATATGGGTGCTGGGGCCCAAGCACAGGGCCATCTTCCACTGTTTTGCCAGGCCATGGCAGAGAGCTGGATTGAAAGTGGAGCAGCTGGGACTTGAACCAGTACCCATACTGGATGCCGGCACTGCAGGTCAAAGCTTAGCCCACTACACCACAGTGCGCACCCCACAGACTGCAGATTAAAAGTCTGATTAGCACAGGTTTAAATAGAAAGGGTTGGGCAATCATAAAGAAGCTTTGCAGGGAGCCAGGGCAGCCTGAGGCAGTGTGCTTCTCCTCTTCAGAGCTAGGGATCTGAAGATCATCCAAGATAAGGAGGTTACTTCCCTCACAGAGAATCAAATAAATATTTTATAATTTGATTTATCTATTTGAGAAAGAAAGATGCAGAGAGAACAAGAAAGAGAGAGCACCCCCGTATTTGTTAGTCCAATCACCAAATGCCCATACTAGGGCTCAGATTTGGAACCAGGAATGCTGTCCAGACTACCAAATTATTTGAGCCATCATGGCTGCCTCATCAGCAGGAACTGAAGTCAGAAGCTGGAGTCGGGAATCAAACTCAGATAGCCCAATGTGCAGCACAGATATCTCAGTCCCAGGCTTAAAAAAGAGACAAATAAAATCATTGAAAATTCTGTATTTCTAAAAACTGTTTTCACTGGGAGCATTGCAGAATGTGACTCTTCTGTTAACATATTGTTTCTAGAAAGACCAGTCATAATAATTTAAGTGATAAGTTTTTACAGGCTCACATGTCTTCTTGAGTATTTCCCCAGTGTCATTGACTGACAGACATGCTCCCAGCAAAGATTTCCACATCACTAGAGGAACATACTAATGCAGAGATTTCAGCACTCTTATTTTGTGTTCTTTCCCTACACATCCCTAGATTTATGCTTAAAGGATGGAGTGTTGCTGACCATGCCCACAAATGTGGAAATATCTTGCTTTAACATTTTGGGCAATTCTAGTGTATTATCAGAAGCACTGTCACAGTCTGAACTCTGCAACTAACTAGTTGCATAAGCATAGGAAAGTCACTTAAACTCTGAATTCCCTACCTGTAGGAAAGAATACCGTCTTCACTGGTTTGGTGAGGACCCAATATGATAATGCACGTGAAGGTACTTTGTGAGAAATGAACTACAACAGTTGCCTTCTAGAATATTTGTCTTCTTCCAGTTATGAACTACCTGTTTCCCAAGTTCCAAAGTCTTTTCCATATAAACTGTTCTGCCCAAAACTGATGGGTTGATTTTTTAAAAAAATTTATTTAAGTTATACAGGTTTCAGGTATTTCACATATACAGTTTTAGGAGCATAGTGATATTTCCCAGATGGATTACTTTTTAAAGTTCTTATTCTACTTATTGTTGGTCTATTCATGTTTCCCTCTATTAGTCTTCAACTGTTTTGTACTCTTAATTCACCTAAAGAGAATCCTGTGTGCCTTCAGGTGGACCTGGTCATTCATGATTTTCACAACCTGATTTTCACCTTCCTCTGGCCGTGTGGCTTACTCTCTTCTTTGCCAATCTTTGCTCTAGCCAGTGGTGTGCTATATATTTTTAAAAATTTTTATTTATTTGAAAGACTGAGAGAGAGAGAGAGAGAGAGAGAGAGAGAGAGAGATTTCTTATTCTCCAATTCATTCTCCAAATGTCCATGATAGGCTGAAACCAGGAGCCCCAGCTCAGTCAGGATCTCTCACATGTGTGGCAGTGACTCAAGTACTTGAGCTATCACTTCCTGACTCCCAGGGTGAAACTGGAATTGGAAGTGGAGTCAAGATTCAAACCTTAGACATTCTGATATGGTATACAGGTGTCTCAAGTGGCGGCCTGACTTCTGTCCTGCACTCCCCTAGTGTGCTATAAATTTTAACAACCCACTTACTGAGGAAGAAAAGAAAAATCTTTGTTTTTTTTTTTTAACTTTTATTTAGTAAATATAATTTTCCAAAGTACAGTTTATGGATTACAATGTCTTCCCCCCCATACCTTCCCTCCCACCCATACCCCTCCCATCTCCCACTCCCTCTCCCATTCCATTCACATCAAAATTCATTTTCAATTATCTTTATATACAGAAGATCGATTTAGTATATATTAAGTAAAGATTTCATCAGTTTGCACCCACACAGAAACACAAAGTGTAAAATACTGTTTCAGTACTAGTTACAGCATTACTTCACATTGGACAACACATTAAGGACAGATCCCACATGAGAAGTAAGTACACAGTGACTCCTGTTGTTGACTTAACAATTTGACACTCTTGTTTATGGTGTCAGTAATCTCCCGAGGCTCTTGTCATGAGTTGCCAAGGCTATGGAAGCCTTTTGAGTTCACCGACTTCGATCTTATTCCGACAGGGTCATAGTCAAAGTAGAAGTTCTCTCCTCCCTTCAGAGAAAGGTACCTCCTTCTTTGATGGCCCCATTCTTTCCACTGGGATATCACTTGCAGAGATCAAGAAAAATCTTTGATTTATGGCATTTGCCAATTCCCATTCTGTAACTATCAGTTTCAAGAATGACTGGTTAAGCATATAGCTTCAGAGTTTGTGGAAATTTAGCAATCTGTTCTTAAAGCCATGTCCCACTGGCTCTAGCACACCCTTGATGCTAAAGAAACCAGAGTGAAAAAGCCCATTGCTTAGACCTGTCACACACACTTCTGTCTCAAAATGAACCTTCGGTGCTCTGGTTTCCACTTTACACATTGGCTTCTGCCAGACTGTTCCTTCTTTTGTGGATTGTGTCTCTCTCCAGCACCAGTCCACTCTTTCCCTCTGAGACCTCCTAAGCACTTGTCTGTTTACTTATAATGTATGAGTGTCCTGATTTATCTCTATGTTTACAGTCTGCTCAGTCTCACCAGATAACTTTTAAACTTCTTGAGGGAAAAATGTGATGTATATCTCTCATAATTGTACTCAATGAATTATTGCTGCTACATGTGTTGATTTTTCATTACTGATGACATTTAAAACTCAAATCTTGGACCCTCTTGAATTATTCTAGTCTTATTACATTTAAAATAGCCAGTCCTGCTTGTTCCTTGCTCCCCAAGCAGGAATGATTTAATTAACCATTATATATAGAATGGTTTCAAAATTATTTTTCTGTGTGCCGTGTGTATTTTAGTTAATACTGACTCTACATTTCTCATCTTTTGTTTAGGTGCTAAAAGATGGGCGTTTGGTAAATAAGAATGGATTATCTGGGCCTATCCTAACAGTGTCACTGTTTGGGAGGTGGTACACAAAGGACACACTTTACAAATCATCTGGGACCAACAATTCAGCAATACCTTACCTGCTAATCTTCATTGTCCTAATGACTGCAGATTTTCAAAATATTGTATTGCTGTAAGGTACCTCTGTCTTGCTCAGTTTTGCATCATACATGTTGCTAAATGTGTTTATCAGGTTCCCAAGTCTGCTAAGAACCTTTGAAGGGCTACCTCAGTAGAATAGACAAGTAATTCTTAAGTATTTTTGTCTTTAAAGATTATTTTTAAGTTTGTTGATAATCGTGTCCTTTTTTGGCTTCTCTGAAATAGTGCTTTGTGGTACAACAGAAACAGCATAGGTGTTTGAATTGGATAAATGAGGGTGAAATAGGGTTCCAGCCCTATATGCTATGAGACTTTGTAGGCTTGGGTGTGAGGGCACAGAGTGAAGACTTTCATAGCTGTGTACTTGAAGAGAAACTGACTTTAAAGACAATGTGAGCTCATCTCATTTTCTAATGATTAGAGGTAAATTTGCTTGCTCATCAGATGCTCATGTTTTGTTTTTTTTTTTTTAAAGTAATTTGTATTTTGTAAAGTAATTTGTTTGAAAGTCAGAGTTATACAGAGAGAGAAGGAGAGGCAGAGAGAGAGAGAGAGATCTTCCATCCGCAGGTCAGTTGGCCGCATTGGCCGGAGCTGTGCCGATCTGAAGCCAGGAACCAGGAGCTTCTTTTCAGTCTCCCACGTGGGTGCAGGGGCACAAGGACTTGGGGCATCTTCCACTGCTTTTCCAGGCCATAGCAGAGAGCTAGATCAGAAGTGGAGCAGCTGGGTTTCAAACTGGCACCCATATGGGATGCCGGCACTGCAGGCAGAGGCTTTACCACAGTGCCGGCCCCAGATGGCCATGTTGAAGTATACCTTAATAGTGACAGCTGTTTTGAGATGTACTAGAAGACACGACAGCTATTCTAGGTTCATATCAAAGGACTGGACCAGGTCATTCACAGCCCTAATTTGTTCCATTTGAAGGCTAAGTTTCCAATCAACAGGCTCAAGTTCCATGACACCAATTCCATGAAAGTTAATTATAACACAATTTGAACATTGGACAGTGTACTTTAAAAAATACATGGATCCCATGCTATTTGAAGGATAGTGGTGAATTTGTTACTTCTAATTTAATACAGATATTCTTACAGCTGAAGAAATGACTTCAGATTTCCAGGTAGCTTTCTCATTTTGTGTCTCCAAAATTATTTTTAAGTTCAACAATTCTACATGAAAAAGTAATTGAGACATGGTTTGTTTTTTATATATTATCATAAATCTCATGGATTCAATTTGATTATTCTACCAAAATTCATTAGGAAATTAAGACTATCTTCATAATGTAGTAGTTACCGTTAAGAGAAGGGTTATGAAGGTTAAGCCAAGCTTTGTGTTTAGTTTTGAGAAGAGCTTAGATGTTTCTTATATTCAGTACTTGGATATCAAAGATAGTATTTTAAAGCTGTAGCAAACACACATGTATGTTTATAGTCCAAATCACATAATTGTCAAAGTTGTGTATTCTTTTGTCTTCATGAAGTATGCAACATTTCAGGTTTATCAGGTTTTGCTGGAGGAAGTTAGATGTTACACAATGGTTTTGCTGTGTGTTGTGACACTTGGGCAATGATGTTTCCATTCTAGAAGTATAGATGTTAAAAAGAAATCAACAGCTGACCAGAAGTCAACAGCTCTCCTTAAGCCCATTGAATTGAGTATGATATAGAGTCTATTTTTAAAAATTTTTTTTAACAGGCAGAGTGGATAGTGAGAGAGAGAGACAGAGAGAAAGGTCTTCCTTTTCCGTTGATTCACCCTCCAATGGCTGCTGCGGCACACCACGCTGATCCGAAGCCAGGAGCCAGGTGCTTCTCCTGATCTCCCATGCGGGTGCAGGGCCCAAGCACCTGGGCCATCCTCCACTGCACTCCCTAGCCACAGCAGAGAGCTGGACTGGAAGAGGAGCAACTGGGACAGAATCCGGCGCCCCAAATGGGACTAGAACTCAGTGTGCCAGCGCCGCAGGCGGAGGATTAGCCTATTGAGCCGTGGCGCTGGCCAAGTATGATATAGAGTCTAAGGGACTGTTCTTTGATTCAGACTTGGAGCTGTCAGCTGGGCCTCAATTCTTTCAAAAACAAAAGAGAAGCACAAGACCCAAGGAAAATGAAGAATACTTAAGCTCAATCATAGAATGGTTTATACCTTGACATTTCAACCCATCATTCCACAGTGGAATCACCTAGGAAATTTATTTTACCAAACAACCCAATAGTTTGATTTGCAATAACTTAGGGAAATGTACCCAAGGGACCAGCTGTTTAATTTCTAACCTGTCAAGTGTCAGAGTCTAGTTTCTTTAATAACTGTCTTTTATCTCCTTTTTGAAATTTTGTATAATGGGGGAGGTGCTGTGGTGTAGAAGGCTAAGCTTCTGCCTGCAGTATCAGCATCCCATAAGGGCACTAGTTTGAATCCCAGCCACTCCATTTCTGATCCAGCTCCCTGCTAATGCCCTGGGGAAAGCAGCAGGAGATGGTCCAAGCGGTGGGTTCCCAGCACTCACATGCAAGACCCAGATGAAACTCCTGGCTCCTGGCTTCACCCTGACCCAACCCTGGCTGTTGCAGCCATTTGGGGAGTGAACCAGTGGATGGAAGATTCTCTCTCTCTCTCTCTCTCTCTCTCTCTCTTTCTCTCTCTCAGCCTTTCAAATAAATGAATAAACAAATAAATAAATCTTTACAAAAATTTTGTCTAAGTTTTTTTTTATTGGCAATAAAGATATCCTATATTTGGAGTTGGACTGATGCTAACAGCATAATATTTCTTGATCTTCCTTACATTGCATGCCAAACTTCCAAGTTATAAGCAGGTAAAAATCTTTCCATTGCAGTTTAGTCTAATAAAGACTAAATATGCAAGCATAAAAATGTTTCCATTATAATCAGCCACATAGCTAATGAATAACTCATAGGGTTAAAAGCCTAATAGCGCATCTTTTTTTTATAGGAATTACATTTATGTCAACATGATGATGGGGTCAAGAGACAACATAATTCACAGACATGCTGCCCCACAATTAGTAACCCCTACAAACAGATGCTTCACATAAACCCTTTCCCTGCCAGTAGCTAGAAATGGCATCGCACTTCATGTTCACTCTTGGTAGGTTGATGTTGCTTGCTTATGTACCTGGGGTTATTATATTGAAATACACTTGGTTTAAGGGTAGCACAGACATGTAAATGAAGGAGATGGGCATCTTTTATTGTTCTTTGCCCAGCATGAACGTACTTATACCAACCCCTCCTCTTTCCTACTACCCCTTCCTGTCCCTCCACTCTTGGGAAAAAGAAGCTATTCCAGGATCGCTTCTGTGTTCTGTTTTTCTTAAGTTGGAAGACTGCCCATACATGATAGCTTTTAAGGAAATGCTTGGAGACTGCTAACTAAAACAAGATGCTTCATTATTCACAAGTGTTTGCAAGCAACATACAGTTGTGAATTGTTATCTATAATACAGATAAAAAGATTTTGTACCAGAGAGTTATCAGCCACCTGTAAGGCTGGAGCAGCATAGAGATGTATTATGTGTCAACTATGAGGTAGCCTTTTGCTGTAAACAGAATATTTCACCCATGTAAATGAACAATGTGCTTACATCAGTGATATTCACATATGCAAGGAGCTGAGGACTTCTGCTTTAGAGGACGTGTTTTTTCACATGAAATAAAACAAGAGAACTGGTATCTGATATTCAGAAATTCTGATGTGTGTCAAACTCAGAGGTACTTACTAACATCAGTAAAGGTACTTACATAAAGGTCAAGGTTATTTGGTTTGTTTTGAGTAAGTAGGACTGTAGACTAGTCTGAAAAGAACACAACCACAACACTATACGGTATGTTCCCTGAGCAAAGTTCTTTGTCTTGCGTACGTTACGTAATAGTGATAATCTTACCATATTAAAAAAAAAAACCCTCAACTTCTAACCACAAGGTATGTTTGGTATGTGCTTAGTTCAGTCTGGTGAGATGCTGAAAAGATTTTAAATCGCACCTATAAAGTCCACGGTTCTCAAGTGTTTATGTGTCTGTTTTTTATCATGATCTCAGCTCTGAACCTGTAAATGTAAACAGGGAATGTCCAATTTTCAAGTCCATGATTTCCTATTTCTATAAGGTCGAAAAACTTTGGTTTGAATTTTCAAAGTGACTTACTGTTTTGCGTTTTTTTTTACTGTTAATAACCTGTTTATTATACCTGCTAAAAAAATTAAGCAATGCCACTTTGATTTGTCTACATAATTTAAATAAGCTTGAAATCCTCACATAAGGCAAGGAAGTAACTTCTCTACAGCTATATCGCATTCAATATCTTCAAAGATAAGCTTTGCATCACAGCACACTGATACTCCAGTAGATGCTGTGGAAACTCTCACAAGCACTGTTGCAAAATTCAAGCTGAGTTACAAAGGCCTGGCAGCCCAGCCACAGGCATTTTCTTCTTTTGGCAGCTTGCTGAAACAGCAGCAGCTATACCAGTCTCCTGTGACAAGGCGAGAGGGAGCAGAAACTGTTTTGCAGAATATGTCTCTCTTGAGTCATGCTACTCTCTCTTTTCGATTATCTGAGCTTATACCAACAGGCCCATAAAATTATTTATTGCCAATATTAAGTAGATTAATTGGTATCTTCTTGGAGATGTTTCAGAAATTTGCCCATAACTTCTGGAACCAAGGTGACTCCAAAATAAATTTTTTTCATGACTGTGACCTAAAGGGACCAGTACTATAACCAGTCCCCAGTCAGTTTATTCCTAAAGCTGAGCACTGATTGAGCAACTCCTTTTTTTTTTTTTTAAGATTTTATTTATTTATTTGACAGGTAAAGCCACAGACAGTGAGAGAGAGAGACAGAGAGAAAGGTCTTCCTTCCGTTGGTTCACTCCCCAAATGGCCATGACGGCTGGAGCTGTGCTGATCAGAAGCCAAGAGCCAGTTGCTTCTTTCTTGTCTCCCATGCGGGTGCAGGGGCCTGAGCACTTGGGCCATCCTCCACTGCCCTCCTGGGCCACAGCAGAGAGCTGGATTGGAAGAGGAGCAGCTGGGACTCGGACCTCTGCCCATATGGGATGCCGGTGCCTCAGGCAGAGGATCAACCTACTGCGCCATGGCGCAGGCCCCTGAGCAACTCTTGATTCCCAGCACAGAATGTTCATTCATCCTGAATCTAGCCCACGGGTTACTGCAGGGTAAGCCCTGAAGGTAACCTCTATAAGTCAGTGTTGTATAAAATACTTCAAGCTGTCTGGAGGGAGAGGTTTCAGTACCGCTGCCCCAGGCTTGTCACTCTTATAGCCTGCCCGTCACTGGGCATTTACACCTCACGGACAGGTCATACAGATTGGGCAATTGTGAGCATCTACTTATTTTCTGTTCTCAACCCCAGTATTTTATTCATTCCTGCGATCTTTTGTTTGCTTGAAAAACAAGTTAGATAACTCTCCAGGGGGAACAAAAACAGCCATCGAAAATATACACAAAGGATCCAAGTTTTCCTCTAAGGTCTTCAGTAGTAAGTAAGGAGGGTTCCTTGCTCTGTGCGAGGGTTGCAAGACTGACTTGGTCAAGGGAAGCTGCTGTTGCCACGACCCATTGAAAACCTCCTAACATGGAGAAGGTCACAATGAGCTAGAATCAAGATACCACTGAAAATAATCAAGTTGCTATGTTTATAGATGACCTTCCCCTTCTTTTTTCTTAACAGGCATGTAATTTACAATCAAAATATAGAATAATTAAAAACATGGAAATATGGGCACAGAAATTACACATTCATTGTCTTTTCTGGAGTTCAATGTTCCAGAATAAAAAAAAAAGTTATGGCAGTCAGAGTCATATGGAGTTACGGTATTGCCTTCAAACACTCTATAGGTATTGAGAAAAAGAGGCAAACCCAAACTCCAGGGGAACTGGGTGTCTTAAAAACCTTTAGTATCATATGATTAGCAGCTCCTAGATCTGAAGTATTATTTGGTTCACACAAATGGTTAACAGTCATGGTTTTGTTTTTATGCAATATAAAAAAGGTGGCGTTTCAAGAAAAACTTTGGAGGTTATTTCCAAAACCATTGCAAATTCTTCACATGGGTTTTCAACACTTGGACATGTACAATTATGGGAGGGAGGGTGTGTGCTTGTTTCTATATGCACACATATGTAAAGACAAAGCCTCTTTATATAGATGTCTACATTCCTCTATGAAATACATACATGCATGTGTGCACACACACACACACAGTCAGGCTCTCTCCCTCTCACACCTGCACATACTGATACACACAGCATCTCGTTCTCTGAATAATGTAAAATGGGACACCTTGCTCAAGCGTAATTTGCTTAGAGTGATTTGTCTTTTTTAAAAGTTTCAGAGTTCCTCAACAATAGTTAACATCCCAGACCAGCTGCTGTTGGTGAAATACGGTTCCCCTGTGTGTGCGTGAGGTAGACTTCCCAACCCGGTAAAGAACATGAGACACTAGCAAGGGTTATGTCTTTTTCCTTTTTTGAACTGAAGGCCCCTTTTTGTTTGGTTCTTCTGTGACGACTTCATGGAGGAAGCTTCTAGAGGGGACCTGCCTGGAACTCTAGGACCTCTGGCCTTGCCTCATGAGCTAACGGTGGTGACATGCAGCCCTGCCCTCCTTCCACTTTTTCTAGGAAACATCCAAGTGCATGGCTGGGACGCTGCTTCCCGTCTTCCCTGAGAACTGGCAGGTGGCTGTGCAACAGCTGAATGTGGGCAGTTTGCCACCATGTGCAGGAGGCTCTGACAGCAATGGCACGTCTTTGGCTGAGGAGGTAGACTGCATTTCTTTGCATGATGATCAAGGCCACGGCAGTTGTAGCATCTATCTCCCTTTGGTTTTCTTTTCTGCCCTGTCTTCTCTTTGAGTCTTCTTTTACTTTCTAAACAGGAGCTCCCACCAGGTCCTGTTACCCTTATTGATTCAAGGCCTTTGGAAGATTTTTTTTAAATGTGAATTCCACTGGTTCTCCTTTTAGGCTTCTAAATCCTTCCATGAATAGTTTACTTTGGTGTACAAACACATCGACTAGAATATTCAAGGGGCTTCCCTCTCGGTTTATCATGGAGATGAGTCCAAATCTCATGTGCACATTGAACCACTTACAGTGGCCAATTCCATGAAAAATCTGGGACCCCTCCTCTGCCTGCCCCTGCAGCTCCCCGGGCTCTTCTCAGCCTCCTTTGCTTGCCCTACAATCTGCCAGTTGCCCCACAGAGATGAAAACTTTCCCTTTGGAACGGAGTGATCTGCATCCATCTAACATCTTGGTTTTGTGTGATCACAAATTTAGCTCGCATGGTTTAATGTGCTTTCCTTCTTTTGATTTTTTTTCCTCTTCTCTCTCCAGTTTCTGGCCCTCAGAGCACACATGACATTGTCAATTACATGCTTTCTTGCTACTAATTTCACCTTGGATCCTTAAGGGGCTGTCAAGAGGAAGAGATAACCAATCGCCATTTCATCTGTGTTGACATCAAAATAATTTATGACTGAACACACACACACACACACACACACACAAAACTCAGACACGTTATCTTGAAAGAAAATTTGGGATGCTTCCTCGTGATAAATCAGAGTGCCGCTTTGGTGCTTCCACATAAACACAATGGAGGGTCCTGGTGAATTGCTGGTTTAGGAGACCCGTACGGTCCCCTCAAAGTTCTTGAATCATCAGAATTTCTGAAACTAGGAAGCAAAGCTCTAGTTTTCTCCTATTTGGCTTTTTCACTGGCTCATTTTCCTCCCCCTGAATTGCCCTTATACAGCTTCCCCAGTCACAAATCCCTGTACCACAAAACTGCACCCTCAGTTCCAACCTTGCGTTGGGGCTCACTCTCCGTCCTCTGTTCTCCCATTCAGGTAGCAGTTATGGACTACTTACCATGTCTCAAGTATCAGGTACTGGGTCAGTGTTAGATACATTCTCTTTGCCCCTGTGATAGGATGTATTCCACAATTTCAGTGGAATATTCATCTATTCTGCAATTATAATTGCCCATTTTCTGCTTTTTAGCTTTTTCTACATTTTGATTTATTCCCAAACATCAGCTCATTCCTCTACACTAGTGATTTCCAGTGGTGTTCTTTCTTTTTGAATCTGTTTCTTAAACTTCATCCATTCTGACCATCTTTACTAGGTATTCCAAAGATGAAAATGTCATAGAATAGCTCTGAGAATATATGCTTGATTAGGTAAATATAGTCATTCTCTCGCTCTCTTTCTGTTTCTATTACACACACAGAGACACATATGCAGGGCTACTTCTAATGAAGGCATTCCTGATACAGAAACAGTAACAAATATGAAGAAGATTATTTATTTATTTATTTTTTATTTGACAGGCAGTTAGACAGTAAGAAAGAGAGACAGACAGAAAGGTCTTCCCTCCGTTGGTTCACTCCCCAAATGGCTGCTACGGCCGGCATGCTGCGCAGATCCGAAGCCAGGAGCCAGGTGCTTCTCCTGGTCTCCCATGTGGGTGCAGGGGCCCAAGCACCTGGGCCATCCTCCATTGCCTTCCCGGGCCACAGCAGAGAGCTGAACTGGAAGAGGAGCAATCTAGACTAGAACCCGGCGCCCAGGTGGGATGCCAGTGCTGCAGGTGGAGGATTAACCAAGTAAGCCACGGCACCGGCCCCAAAGATTTCTTTTTTTTTAAAGATTTATTTATTTATTTGAAAGGCAATGTTACACAGAAAGAAGGAAAGACAGAGGGAAGGATCTAGAGATTTTCCATCTGCTGGTTCACTTCCCAAATGGCTGCAATAACCCAGGCTGGACTGAAACCAAGGACCAGAATATCTTCCAGGTCTCCTACATGGGTGCAAGGGCCCAGGGACTTGTGCCATTTTCTGCTGTTTTCCCATGCACATTAGCAGAGAGCTGGATCAGAAGTGGAGCAGCCAGAACACAAACTAGTACCCGTATGAGATGCTGGCATCACAGATGGTGGCTTAACCTGGTACATCATGATGCCAGCCCTGAAGATTTCTTGAGTATGTATCTGGAGATAGGAAGTACTTGGAATGGGGAAGACATTTCAACAATTTCTTAGAGAATTTCTAGGCCACTCATACGTAAGTCAAAGAAG